AGCCTCTGAAGCCATAGCTGCTTGAGAAGTGCCTCATCAAATCGATGAGAACCAGCGAGCTGTCTCGTGTATCGGAGTAGTTTCTGAGGGCTTCCTGTCACCCAGTTCACAGGGGGGTTAGTAGGTGCTGCAGCCGTTTCTTATCAGACATGGATACCCGTTGTATAACTGCTGATTTCAGTTTGTCGTGAGGCGCTTCTTCCGGGACGTCACTGGTTGAGTCTCCGACTTCTGTGGTGACCTCACTGGGTAGGGCTTCTACCATATAAGCGTATTCAGTGCTTGGGAGCAAGTGCTGTGAGCCATGAAAAGAGCCTCAACTTGAGCGAACCACATACGAGGGTTGTTAAAACCATACAGTGGAAGTCGTATGTCAGATATCGCATATAATGGGCCTGTCTGCAAATAGCGTCCAAAATGATAAACTATGTATACTTTATAAAAGTACACTCGCCGTTGTAGAAATGTGAAAAATTGTGTATCATAACGAAAAATGCAAATGTCAATGCTATACATAATAACAAGTTACTTGAATGTTATCTCTTCGGTAATGCCCACCACAATTTTGGATACTTCAGAGGTCACAAGGCGATACTTGTTAGCTCTCCATAGTCGACGTTGATTGGCTTGGTTGTCGTATTGTTTAGAAGTAGGAGGAGACATCCTGTTAGATCCAAAGATAACCAATGAGTAAACATGACAGACAATAGTCACGGAGGCAGAAGTCGAAATGGATAGAAGCACACTATATTTCCACGCCTAACGGCAGCAGCGAAGTCAGTAATAACCGCCGCAACCAAAAGTGCACAAATATAGACAACAGTAGCTTTACAAGTATTAGGAAGAATGCACAAGATGTGCAGAAAGCGATGAAAAGGAGCCGTCATTTTTAATTTAAGTGGCTTATACACAATTTCGTGCCCTCTTCATACGTCCTACGACGAGATGGCGAAAGTGGAATGTGGAAACACTGAATGAGGAACATTCGCTCGGACGATGCTCCAAATGTGTTGGATACCTAAAGGACATGTTTTTACATGAAGGATAATGCTTTTTCTCCTATTAATACCCATGAGCTACGTTAGAATTGTGGGGAGTTAGTAGTGTTGTACTCCTTCGCTGGGTGAGTGCCTGTGGAAAGACGTATATGAACGAGTGACTTGTTATGGTAGTATTGATGTCTCCAGAAATGTTAAAAGCATGTGAACTGGTAGACTTCTCCCTATGGACTGCGGAATTGCTGACAGAAACCAACAACCTGCAGCCATGGAGTCATTTCAAGTTTTCCTATTATTCTCACCCTAACCCTAAACGAATACTTAAAGCATTCTCCTTTAGCAGACTTTCAGCTAAAGGATAATAAACAGCGATGGAACGTTCTAACATTTACACCGATTCCTTAAACAACCAGATAAAGGCTTGCAAAAGTTGAAGTAATTCGGGAATCAGGGGTAGCATAGGCAGCATCACGGCTTCTTTAACGATTAACCAAATTCTAACACAACGAGAATAACATAATGCGGATAAATTTACACTAACCCACAAACATAACATGAAAAAATGCATTCCAACAAATGAATATGCAAAATCACGCTGTTCGTAGCTGACATGTGTCTCCAAACATCGCAAACAGTATTTAGGATTTGTCCTGGTGAGAACTTGACAGACGCAAAGACCAATCACTAATTATTCGAACTTGTTATATACCCACGAATACGAGACCAAGGAAGAACACGATAGCGTAGTCGGATGGAATAGTATATTTGGATGGTTATGCCAAAATACCGATGCGTTCCAACTAACTGGCTAGAGAGTCGAATACGAGCAATGCAACGTAACACGACAGCGTGCCAAATGGCCAGGATGCTTGACCGGGTGCCTTCAGCTTAGCGAGTCCAGTTAAACTATCAAGGTCAGCATCAATGTCGAAAGTCGTCAAACCCTAGGCTATTGATTTTGGGGAAGTGTATGACGCTACAGATCACTCCCCCCCTAGTGGGTTCGTGAGGACCCTAAGACGATACCAGCCGGAAGTAAAAACCCAGTGGTTTCTCCACTGGTAAAACTCTTCCGATGGGCTCACTGCGTGAGGTGGCCCCTGGTTGTCTGAACCTTATTCTAGGGTGTCGTGGCGATTAAATAAATAAAATACAATAAATGGAATTGTACGTCGGTCGCGGTCATCTGTTCCTTTCGACGTTCCGTCCAGTGCTCGTTGCACCTGGAATATAAATAAAAGTCTTTAATACCACGAAAACGTTGCGTAAAAATGGGAATTATTTATATATCAACATATCGAAAAATAAAAATTTACGCTTATCTTTACCGTTTTTTTTAAAATTTCATTACATGGTAAATAAAAATTGATATAAAAAGGCAAAGTATACGAGGGTTTGTATTGATGTATCGGGTAGGAGTCCGGAGTTGTTTTGGCGTTGAGCCTTCGGTAATCACCGGTTGGACGCCAGTCACTGCTATCCTTTTGGGAACCATGTGCAATGGCGATGCCCAAGGATTGTTCGACGGTCTGATAATGCCCAGGTCGAGCATGTGGTCGAATTCATTTTTCGCCGTTTGGAGCTTATCGGGGGCTAGACGGCGCGCTTTGGATGCCACAGGTGGACCTGTGGTTGTGACGTGATGCATAACATTGCTGGTTATGCACGGAAGAGTGTGCTTCGGTTGCTGTAACTCTGGATATTTCTCCAGAACTGCCTGGTAGGACGCGTCGTCTGATTGTTTAGTCCTAACGATGGCTAAACTCGGACCTACATAGGTGGTGCCGCCAATGGATAACTTTGTGCTGTTATCTATCAGTCGTCGACGGCGAGCATCTACGAGTAGATCGTAATGGTTTAGCAAATCTATGCCAATGATGGGCATAGAGACGTCTGCCAGGAGGAAAATCCAGTGGATAGGTTTGCGTAAACCTAAGTTGAGGTAGGCATACCGTCTCCCGAATGTCGCGATTGCCTTGCCGTTGGCTGCTTGAAGATTGAAGGATGGGTCAAGATGACGCTCCTTTGTCGTTGCTGGAAGAATGCTAACTTCTGCGCCGGTGTCGACGAGGTAGCGGACTTTCGTTTTAATCCGTGACGTAGAGCAAACGGCTTTTTCGCCGGCTACGGTTGCCGTGAGCACGTGCCGGCGTGACCGTTTCCCGAGTTCGGGTCCTTCTTAAAACGGCATGGTTTACGACATTTTCTGGCTTCATCCCCGTAAGTGTTATGAAACCAGCACCATTCAGGGTTTTCCACCCTGTTGGGTTTCGTTTTAGGGCTACCACACGACTTGCTGCGATGCGCCAAGGTGCGTTTCCGTGAAGTGCTACGTGATCTAGGACTTCGAGATCGTAGCAACCGTCTCACAGAGTTGCACAACTTGGTCACCTCTGAATCCTGGCGCTCTGTTTTGTCGCAGATAGAATATACGTTGGAGACTGGTCTGCTGGATATCTCCAGTATTTTATCTGCTGAGGCTGCCAGGTCGTCGAGTGAGTGAGTGTCACCAACACGGTTTGCACCGGTTGTGGTAGTTTCGAGAGAAATAGTTCTCGGAAGAAACCATCGTCAAATGTTCGTGCACCGATTACTTCTCGCATGCGTGCGAGGACTTCAGTAGCTGAGTGGCTGCCTAGCTCGATGTTACGAAACAATTCGTCTAGACGTTGGCGATCTGTGAGATCGCTTTTCTTCAAGAGTGCGGCCTTTAGAAGTGCATAAGGGTCACTTACTTCAGGATTAAACATGTTTGCTGTAACATACCTGTTTAATTCTCGCGGTAGTGACCGGATGACAGCAAGAAATCGAGAATGAGGATCTGAGACACCCTGTTCTCGAAAATCTGCCTCGGCATACAGAAACCATGTTTCTGCATTGTCTGGCCAATATGGCACGAGTTGGATCGTGTTCGTAGTCGACTTAATACGAATAAGCTTGGGAGTGTGGTCGGACATGAGAAAGTGTAGTAAATGGATATATAAATGTTATCGAAATGAAAACAATAAACAAATATAAAATGGAACAGGCTCACCAATTCAATACTTGTTATTGGTCGGGATATGTGATCACGTCGGGCTCACCAATTTAGGATTTGTCCTGGTGCGAACTTGACAGACGCAAAGACCAATCACTAATTATTCGAACTTGTTATATACCCACGAATACGAGACCAAGGAAGAACACGATAGCGTAGTCGGATGGAATAGTATATTTGGATGGTTATGCCAAAATACCGATGCGTTCCAACTAACTGGCTAGAGAGTCGAATACGAGCAATGCAACGTAACACGACAGCGTGCCAAATGGCCAGGATGCTTGACCGGGTGCCTTCAGCTTAGCGAGTCCAGTTAAACTATCAAGGTCAGCATCAATGTCGAAAGTCGTCAAACCCTAGGCTATTGATTTTGGGGAAGTGTATGACGCTACAAGTAAAAGCAGTCAACGAAATGGTCAACTGTGCTGACCAGAGCTACATCAGTCGAGTGGGTAAAGTGGATCGGAATCCACCAAAGACCTGGAACCGTTGAGCCAGACCTAGAAGCGTGTGCGAAGTAATCGGTTGGTTCACACTAGCTCGTAAATAGGTATTGGATATTGAACTACGTCTGTGACGTTTATAAATCAAGAAAAAAAACTCGTTTTGCACTAAGCCAATCGTCTAACATGGCCTACTAAGATGGCGAGAAATGACCTTACAATTGTCACAAGACAGGATTCTGATTGGTCTCCAAGTGATAAATGGCATGCTAATTTCGGCCTGTAGGGCAACGACAGTGCGCTGTATAAGAACTCCGGGTTCTCAACTCTATTAACGTGAGTATACTATCGTACCTTCGTAAGCAATTTGTTTATTAACATTTTAAAATAAACTCGTCAGTAGTTACTAACTAGTGAGCGTGAACCAGGTATAATCTCACCCACTAGAGATTGTATATACTCTCTTGTGATTGAGATAATACCTACTATCGAAATATTTATGTTGATATCCAGTGAATATAACTCCGTATTCATATTTTTATACAATGGTTTAAAATTTTTTGATCCCTTGTGTTTAATGATGTGAATAAGTGGTTTTTGCTAAAGTCAGCCCAGCTGGTAAGGACTTCAGGCATGCTCTGGTAACTTCTAGCTGATTCTGTAGTAAGAAATTTGAAGTGAACTGGGTCATGCAACGTATTTCTGCAGCTCCAGAATGTGTTTGCTGAACTTTCTGCATTTCTCTACGCAAATAAATTAGGACAAAAGCATGCGAGAAGCCAACCACAATTCTGTACCACAGTTATATCAAATCTGCTTAAAGTAGAAGGATAAATGATTATCAAGGTAAGCGTTTTCTTTCGGCATTTTATGAATAAGTTCACTTTGCAACGTGTTCAGACTTCAACTTTTGGTATGCAGTTAACACTAGTTATCGTAATAAGGTTCAGATTTGTAGTTTGAAGATTTATGGCTGTGAATCTATTTAATCTCTTACCATCACATGAGGTCACGCAAGGAAAACTCCTGTGCAAGCTACGTCGCGAACAAGACAATAAGGTGTTGCCTTCTAGATGGACCGTAATGACTTGATTACTCTTACTAGGATTTTTACAACAATACTAGTCAAGCTTACCGGTCTGTAATTGGATGCGTGCTACTTAAAACCAGCCTTATGGGTAGGTGTAACTATGGCGTTTTTCCGGTCATATGGGAGTATACAGTGTATACCATCCCTTCAGTGAAGGATAGTGTGCATTAAATAGTCAATGGTTGGTGACGTAGAGTACAAACTATCCAAGTAGCTTATCGATTGCAGTTGATTTTTCGCGTCTGGAGTAATTCAATTCCTAATTACATCATTGCAATCGATGATCACGAAGTTAATCCTTTTTTGGATGTCAGCGGTTCTGCCGTTGATTTTATGTTCATCGAACGTTCTTGGATAATGACAGCAAAATATCTGCCTAGTGCTTTTTATCTGTACTTATGGTCTTCAATGAGCTGGTTAGTTTCCCTTTGAAGTAACTATGAAAGAATTAGTTTGATTGGCAGTGTCCAAGATCCTAAAGTCTACAGTCATCTGACGCCAAACTGGAGGAAACTAAGCAGGCTTCAGACCTGGATGAGGATGCATCGATCATGTATTCACTCTCCGACAGGTTCTACAACAACATAATACTGGTGGCCGCCACTTGCCATATTTTTTAACCTGATGGCTGCATATGTCTCTGTCAACCGGGGTGGTGTGGCATTTTCCGACTGTACGGAGAGTACCGAGCAACTGTATAATGCTCACCTTTCGAAATCACGCGGTATTCGGGCTTGTGGAGAGTTGTCGTCAAAATTGACTGTAAGTACTCCCGGTTTAATGATATGGGGTGAAGTGATCAGATGTGTCGGCCAGTTCACTTACTTAGGGAGTTGCATCAGCCCGAACTGGACGGTCGTTGACGAAATCTCATCTTGAATAAAAAACATCCATTTGGTATTTGCCAACTAGTGTCACTCGTGCTGCTAAGTGGCAAGATATCCTACTGTCTATCAAAGGACAAGTATACTGTGCCATAGCCCGTTCTGTCCTGTTACACGACTGTGAGATATGGACGTAAAAAGTAGGAGATACGAGGCGATTACTGGGTTTTGACCACCTATGTCTTCGTAGCATTGCTCGCTTTTGGTGGAATCACCGTGTGAGCGATGTTGACGTTAGGCGATGGATACTAGGCAAAGGAGGCAAGTCGACTGACGCATTTCTAAACCGCAGTCGACTGAGATAGCTTGGACATGTACTTCGAATGCCCATCCACTGCCTACCTCAGCGTGCTATGCTGGGGCGAGTTGGATTCTGTTTGAAGAGGGTTAAGGTCAGTCAAACTAATACATGGCACCAGTCAATGGAGTACCCCACTGTTAGTCTGAGGCGCGTGGGGAGATATAGGTTATCTGGTTAGGGTCACAGAGACGAAAGGAATGAGTGATTGATGACATTTGGTGACGTAGCTGAAATTCGGTCGCAGTGGCGTAGATTTATTCATACCTTGACATCTAAAGGTTGGATATTCGCTTTTGCTGTTGTCCTGAGATTGCTTGTTCTGTTATAACTTTTTCTCGGTTATCATTTTCTATCCACCTATTTTTTGTATACCACAATGAAGTGTTGCAACTTGTGGTGATGCATTCGTGCGCTAAGTTCTACGTTGATTTTGTCAGTCAGTCAGTTAGTCAGCCAGCCAGTCTTTCACGTAATATGACTAGCTTTTACATAGTAGGTATGGCTCATCTGCTGTGAAAATGTGCACAAGGTTGCTAAGTGGATTTCAAATGAAATAATTTCCACATCATATAACAAGCCCTATAGTCAACTTGCGTCTGGAAAAACATCTGAAGTTGTCTAAATAAACTTGCTACATAAAATTCGGTCAGGGTTTTCACACAATCGGATAAATGTCCTACTTACCTATCTGCAAAGCAATGCTAGGCGAAGTTGGATTCTGTTTTGAATAGGGTTCAGGATGGTCTGACCAAGACGGCATGAAGTCTCCGAATGTTGATCTTAGCTGTGTAGGGAGGTGTTAACCACGTGGCTGGTGTCCTTGAGATGATAGAAATCAGTGGTTAAGACCTCTTGGTGACATGGCTGAAAATCGGTCGGAATGGCTCTAATGTATCCACTCTTTGATATTACTGAAAGTTGAAAAGTTTCCACTAACTTTCATTTTTCATTCCATCATCCTAAACACTTTTGGTTACTTAAATATTAATCTCCTATCAAATTACTCTGTAGATGCCGATGTGTAGTTCAGTAACTTGAACCGATGCACTTCACTTTGAGTTTTTTGTCGGTCTCTGAATGTTTTCTTGAAACCCCATTGTACTAAGCGTTGGCTTGTAACTTCATCGAAATTCCATCTTAATCTTTCAAGTTACATGCATGTTCGCTCATTATGTTTAGTATTAACCAGAGTATCTGTATCCACTTTTAGTTTCAAACGAAATGGATGTGGTGCCTTGTCTTGCTGCATTCGCGAAAAATATTTATGGTAATATAGTGGCACAAAGTCTGAGTACGTTGTTTTTGAAAAATAACTTATGACTACTGTTAGATGATTTGAAGAATACATTCTTTTCTCCCTTCAACATTTATACTGCCCTTGGAATGGTTCTTTGTGGAGGTGAAAACAACACAAAAGCTGAACTAATGAAGGCAATGCAATTACCTGAATCTTTAAAACATAGCAAAATTCATAATGGGATTCGTAAAATGTTGGCTAACTGTTCAAAAGCTGATCAAGGTGTCGAGATAATTCTTGGGAATAGAATTTTCACAACACCTAGTGCAAATGTCAGAAATGAGTTCAAAGAAAACGTAGAAAAGTACTACAAAGCTGAAACGGAATGCGTAAGTTCATTTAACGTGAAATTGATTTTTTTTCAAGGTACTGTTTGAGAAAGATATAGAAAATGCTCGAACGCTGATAAATCAGTGGGTGAGCAAACAAACCAAAGGAAAGGTTCAAGAACTTCTTTCACCTGGTTCTCTTACCGAAAATACATCTGTTGTAGTGGTTGCAACTACATACTTCAAAGGTAAATTCATAAGGCTTACTGGTGACAGTTATAACTACCACTAAGTGTCTGTCAATTAGACATCTTAAATCTTATGTATCGCCTTATAACCAGTTATATTTCCTTAGGTGCGTGGAAACTAGCTTTTCCTGAAATCAACACGCATGACAGTGAATTTCACAAACTAGATGGATCAAAAATGGAAGTGAAATTAATGTTCAAGGAATCGTTTTTCGATATGGTCGAGTTGCCTCACTTAAAATCTCGTGCTATCAAAATACCATTTAAAGATCCCATGTGAGCAATGTTAATATATTTCTCATATAATAATGTAGTTATTTAGTGCCTGCAGTGTAATTTGAAGGCGAGTAAATCTTACGTAGTCGTCTTAACGATACAGTGATGACTACTGGAGTGAGTAATGTTATGTTCATAGACCTGTTGACAGACATATTTTATCTAGCCAACATTATCTTGTTAGAAGGCAGTGAGAACACATAGTTTTCTTCATTTCTTGTGTCATTTTTACTCATACAGTTGATTTGTAGGCGTCCAGTTGTGGGTTGCAGTTGATTTTAACCTACTATGGTTTGAGTAACCAGACATGATGACAACCTCAGATGGCAAATATAGCTAACTTCGAGTATTGATTTAAGAAGAAGGCAGCATAGCATGCGTACCTTGAAATGTACCGCACAAAACAATGCGATAATATTAGGAACGAAGATGAAAAGAAAACAAGTAAAGGAATGAGTTAGCGGAATTTCTCGAGTAGTTTCAGAAGGAGGTATTCGCAGGTACCTTCGTCATTTTCATCGCAATTTTCGATAATAAAAGAATCAAAAAAAGCTTCATCATAATGTGCTGGTTGTGAGCATGACCCATATCTGATAACGTTTTGAACCACTGAGTTGCACGATCTTTTGAGCTTGGTTTGATGAGTGATGCTGAGCTAACAGCTGATATTGTGACAGTATCCTAAATCTCGTAGAAACAGACCATTTATCGGTCAGATTTATGCATCTGCTTTATATTTTCAGGATCAAACAGTATGGGAGACTAAGGCACGGTGTTTGCAAACCACTTACAGTGGAAAGTGATATTCACCTTTAAACTGTTGAGTCTTAAAATTACTAACAGAAGTGTGAGGGTGGTTGAGACTTCTCGGCTGCCTACATCATAAAAGGCCATCTCATTCTAAAGTACCCAAAAAATAAAGGTTATCGTATGGTCGTAGTGCTCAAGTGATATCTGCTCGAGGCTGGTCACGCAAGGCATTCCTCCAAGTTTGATATCTTGATGTTTTTGGGAATCCTACTATAAGCCCGTATCGCCGGTGCCAGTCGGGCTTGCAGATCACAATGACCCAACGACATATGTTGGTGGAAGTTGTTTCTTCGAGATCCCACTACACGGGAAAGGTCTATCGGATGGTGGTAACACAGGTACCAGTTACTGTCATAGTGTAGGTTGCCACGCTACGATGGGGTCCAAGAGCGAAGTATTACTTTCGGCTGAATGGGAGTGTAATAGCTGTGAGGTGTTTCCCTTGGATGACCAGCAGTCTCGCACAGATACTGCCTTCCTTATGGGGGTAGGAGGTTGGAAAAGTTGGCTGTAAAAATAGCGCACTCTTTTACGCCACGACATACTGGCACCGGCGATACGGTGATATCAAACTTGGAGAAATGCCTTGCATGACCAGCCTCGAGCAGATGTCACTTGAGCACTACGACCACACGATAACCTTTATTTTTTGGGTACTTTAGAATGAGGTGGCCTTTTATGATGTAGGCAGTCGGGAAGTCTCAACTACTCCACAAGTCTTTCTACACAGATTCCCTCAGATCACTATCTAGCTTCCACATTCTTGGCTTCTTTTCTTTGTTCACGTTTCTCAACCAACTTTCGTCTGAAACTGTCTTAAAAGTGACTTAGGTAGTTATTTAAGGTGCGTCAATGGGATCTAGTAGGTGACTCTGTTAGACAAAATACGCCGGTAATTTGAGGTTTTTTAGAGTTCTAGGAAAAGCTGTTTGTTGTCTGACCTGCAAAAGGGTCTTAATCCTGAAGACAGAAAGCCTAAAGTGAGTGAACAGTTTCAGAATAGTTTGTGAAAACATCTCTTTTTGGTAACTGAGAAGGGAATTGATAGACTAGAGTTTAAAACAACGACAAACACACGAGCTGATTTCAAAGGATTCAAAGAAAGAGGAAATTTATTATAGTAACGGTAAAACTTTATCTCACTCTTTCTGTGGCAGAAAATATTAAAGTATGGTGTATGAGAGCTCATAAAGGGTGAGAGCAAAGGTTTAAAGCTCTTTACTAGTCCAAGGTGTGCTGCTTAAAGTCAAGTCCATGAATCAGGTTTATATTTTGGTCCGCAGTATGCATATCATGAATGTCAACTGCTGCATACTATAGCCTGTGCCACTTTGCGCAAGTCACCCATCCGCTGCAGTTGATGAGAGTTCGTAACCTCATCAGTTGACTTGCCTTCTCTACCTACTCTCCTGTTCTTGATATTAGCAGTACTGCACTTGGTTATTCCAAAATATACAGACGTCCTTCGGAAGTGTGTCAACGATCGATAAAACACCTGCAGGTTTTAGCATTACGCTTTTAATACAATGAATAGTTTTACTGGTCATTCTCTTACTGGGGTTTACGCCGTCTGATTTGCCCTTTGTTACCGTTTTTCTTAACTATACCTAATCCAGGTTCACACTGCTGGTTGTCCTTCCGGATGCAAATGATGGACTTTTGAGTCTGATAAAGTCGTTATATGCAGATAATGGTTTGTCATATATTCTTTCATCAAATGATTTTGATACGAAAAAACTACAGTTGTTTCTACCTAGATTCAAGCTCAGAGAAGGTAGTGCTATGAGCCTGAAGGAGATTTTGAAAAATATGGGAATAAATGACGCGTTTTGTTCATCGAAGGCTAATTTTTCAAGTATTTCTAACTCACATAAATTGTATATCTCAGATGTACTGCACAAGGCTATTCTTGAGGTGAGTCCAGTGCATGAATATAGCCATTTGTCAACCTTTATTATGTGGAATTCGCTGTTTAACGTGTTATTATTGTATTACTAGTGTTCGACAGCATGGATCCATCCTCGAGGTGGTGGTAAGCCAGACATTAGATACCCCGAGTGAGGTGTCCCCAATGTCTATCAGAGTGACACAAGTGTGTTTACTTTATATGTAGAACAACGAGATACTTCAAATTGTAGCAGTGGATAAACAGTGAATACGTCTATGGCTTTTACTTCGACAACAAAATACGATAGATTACTGAATTAGGACAACATAATACCGCAGTTGGCAGTCATGCATTACCCTCTGATTGATCATATCTAAACGACACTTAGTGTAATTCTCATTTACTTCTTCATGAAGCCTAATAACAGTGCATGAAATTTCCTCTAGCCGGTGTCTTTTAAACTTGGTTGACGGAATTCAAATAGAATTGTGTAATTAAAACTGTGACACCATTTAGTTCATACAGAAAGCAAACAACTTAGTGACAAGTGTACTAATGATTGTCTTTCATAAGACTAGGCGTTGCTTTTGCATTGTAAAAATACATGTTCACTTTCCTTTCTGATGTGATGAGTCATGATAGAGTAGATCGTGTGTTCCGAAAAGCTAACTGACTAACAGTAAGTTTTCGATGCTGAACGCAAAAAGGTGTAATGGGTAACATGATTGGTAAAATGAGTACGAGGTATCAGGTGACTATGTGAGTGTCGAGGAATTGTGT